GCTCTATACTATTGTTTATCTGTTGAATTCCCTAATATATTATGCGTACTTTCAGCTCCTTCGACATGGGCTAACCATCGTTAACCATGCCCTTTTAACCCGGCGGAAGGAAATGATAACCAATCCGTGTGAACGTCATTTGAATGCAAGTAAAACGTTTGCACATAGAAGTTTATGGACCCCACTCACCCGCAGCCCAGACTTTAGTTTCGGTTCCCTCTCGTCTTAATACCATTGTGCTTCCCGACGCATAAACGACTATAGCAACCCTACCTTCTTCAAAAATTATTCTAGTTAACAAAGAACAGAATTTTGCGGGTTTTCATCAGTTTCGAGGTAAAGCTATTTTTCACAACTATGTACACTTTTATCTGAAACGTAGACACTATCCTTACAAAAGACAATTACAATGCAAAGATAAAACAATAAAATGAGCGAATATATCACAACTAACTGTTTAGTCAAGATGAAAAGATTCCAGACGATGCAAATGTGCGTCATTTTTGGAAGCAGGACATTAACAAGACTAAGGAATTTTGTGTAAAAAAACTTGAGGTCAAAACATATCCAAACCCGTTGATCTCTTATCCTCCTCCCCGACTTTCACTCCAGTTTCCATCTACCCGAATGTGCATTGAAACCAACTCTTCTTTTTTCTTCCGGAATATTGTCTGAGGTAACTCGAATCTCACTTTACTTCTATGTTTTGTTTTTCGAGAGTATGCCGCGGCAGTTCGGCCAGTTCTGCTATACGGCGCAGAAACTTGGCCATTAGGAAAACAGGATAAAGATAGACTGTCGGTATTTGGACATCGCTGTCTGCGCAACATTGTAACCATGTGGTGGGGCAGCAGGACGAGCAATTCCGAGGTAAGGCGCAGAGTTTTGGCTAACCACATTCGCCCACTGGAGCAAGTGGTCGACTTCCATAGATTACATTGGTTGGGAGATGTGTTATGCATGTCATCAAATAGGCTGCAGGGTGAGTGATGTTGGCCGAGGCAGGTAGTGGGTGGAATAAAGCCAAGGTTGGTCAACCTAAGACCCAGTACGAGGGTATAAAAACCCTGACCAGGGGACTGGGTCAGATAGGTCCCGTTAGGCTCCCTGACTGGGGACCCCAGGATGATCGTAACCGACGATTAGAGACACTGAATGATATGGCTTGGAGTTGTAAACAGTGGCGTTCGTGCATCTTCTTAATTTCTTTACAACCTTAGACAACTGAAATTCTCTATTTTCTATTCAACTCTACTTTTAGCTTTCCTGTCTTTCTCCTGTTCATCCAAATGGACAGCCAAAAGACAGTAACCAAAACCGGCGAGCGAAGTGCATGGGTAATGGTTATACAAACTGAAACTCTATGCTTTGTCTGAGCCTTGCCAAATGGTGTAAATTATACTTCGGAGTCCGTAAGTGATTTCCTTTTGGATTTTTTCTTCGAACCAACCCCGCGAAAAAGCATAAGACCACAACCTACATTGATGACATAAGTTAATAACTATGCATGTACATCTGAATGAGAGCATGCGTCATGCCAATTATACTCAAATAGCTCTTCTTGGTATGCAAAACGATATTTGACACTGAATGCAGCACTCTGACTTACCGATCATAGTCTCCATTGACCAAAATCCTTAAAGGAATAACCATTTGCCTCCAGTTCGGATTCAACGTATTGCGTATCTCCTCAGTACGGTGTACAACAGTACGGCTGAAAACATGTATTATATTTGAGTCAATAAAAGAGCATCAATTGTTTACATTACATGGCAGTCAACCCTAATATTAACCATTATCAATAAGGGTAAGCAAACAGAAGAAAATAGTCAACGAAACCTTGATCTGTGGGAAAATGACAATTGTTGAGGCAAACCTATAGCATGGGATACAAACATAGATAACCGGAATATACACAGAATTGCGTAATTTAGGACAATGGCATACTTATCATCATTGCCAGCGATATACAGTGAAGCGTAATGTGAGGTTTACAATCAATACAAAGAAAATACATAAGTATACCCACTTGACACCGCGTAACTTAAACTTGTCTTTTTTTCACCGTTGCACCTGACAGACCGTGATACAAGCACCTATGCTGGTACGAGGCTATTAGACTGTTCAAACCAATGTGGGTAAGTTTCTCACATATGCAAAACCGAAGCATTTGCTCAGCTGAGGCCTCGCCCACAAGGTAGCAAGGCGTCCCGGGTTCAAGCCGCTCAACCGCTGTCCATCTTCCCCTTATCTGTATTTTCCCCAGGCAGCCTCTGTATGGCCGCAGCCCCCTTCCTGAAAGTTGACTGTACATTTATATATTCAATAAACAGAAAAAGGAAGTAAAAAGACATTTTTAGTGTGACAACTGCAGTTCGTTGGCAGGCATTTTTCAGTCAGAAGGAACTTACTACGCGACTCCTAAGTCTGATGGGCCTAACCTACTTTATCAAGTTCACGACCGACGTCAGTTGAATATTCTGGAGCTAGTGTGTACGCCTACTTTTGTGGTATATGAAAGCATGGATTTTCTGCTCCGCTAGACGACCCAGCTGTTCGGGGCTCATAGACCCACTTATAACCTTGGATATTGGCTTTGCGCCTAATCATTTCAAAAATCAAACCGTTATCAATGGAAGATAAAGAGTGAGAATTCTTCGGGTATTTTGGGATATACTGTATGAGAGAATTTCCTGAATCAAAAGCGAGGCCGTCTGGTTTGCTGTCTTTGGGCTATTTGGATAGTTGTTTGGATGAAGGAGTATAGAGGAGAAACAGTGTCAATATGAAGATGAAGAGCAGGAATCTCCGATTGCACATATAGATATCATCAGCTAGTCTGACCTGTTAAGAAATTGTAATACTGCCTTTATCCATACTTTGGTTTCTCAGATCAATTTGCTATATGATCACAGACATCTTTCATATCTCGACTCCACGGAATATGCTAATTCCAACCTGGAACGGCTATTGCACTTTTCACTTACTATACACCAATACTCACAAGTTAAATGTGAAACACGACACTTTGCTGAACGGTGGTGCAGCTTTCCAACAAACTGCTTAGTTCATCAGAACGTCATAAATGACCATAACCGTTTGTGGGAACAGTGGCTTCGATAGACCGATATACGTGTTAGACATTCTGACAGGGGAGTCGCTTGAAATAAATGCTCTCTCTGGGTCAAGATCACAAATTTTGGTCTGTGATGTGTGCTGTCATTCTTCGCCATTTAATTAATCCGTCCCTTTGAGCTAGTCAGCTTCCTATGTGTGGTTAATTTTCACAACTTTGAGAACAACTACTCATGATAAGACATTTCGAATCCAACTTGGAATCCCAAAACTGCACTTTACATATCCCCAGTTTCCATAGAAACCGTCCCACTGTGATGCGGATTATTGGAGTAACCTCAGACGTGCCAAGAGTAGGCCAGCATTACCCAGAGATGTCTCCTTTCTCTGATAGTTACTTTGATTAACTTTACTTTCCGCATTAATCCTATCTACAGCTTCTTCGATAATGTGATTTTTTATCGTTTTTCTATTAGTATTTTACCCTGTCGCACTTCGTCGAAAAGCATCTGTCGCAATCGATTTTAAGTGCAAAAGTTGTTGGACTCCGACTGTGACTGGATCTGATGCTTGCTTTCTTTTCCGTTAATTCGGAAGACGTTATCTCAATTTCACAACTTGTTCATCTTTGACATGAGTGTTCCTCTTTATGACCCTTGGTTTGTGCTTACCTTCTTTGAGAAAGACGTTCACTTATACGTACATGACCTCTAGCCCGCTACACGATTCACGAGTACCACAATCATATCATGCACCAATGTTCTGCTTTATTCATTTTTACATGCACCGGTTCCTACCAGAACGCTACACCTCATAGGTATGCTACTGAAAACTTCAATATGATTTTAGATCCATTGTTTTTCATCCTTTCAGTTCTAGGCCTAAACCTGCCCCTTCGAATGCATAAAACTACTTCGCGATAGATTTCACTTATTCGGTAACGACAATTTTGGATGCACTGCAACTTGCTAGATCTAATTAAATGTAGATGTATACCACCAGCCTGCGAGCGAGCTTCAAGCCAACGCAACAATAGTAACAAAGAACAGGGGAACGTCATACCAAACAGACACAAGAAATAAAAAATGTTTGTTTGTTTCACCGTACACTTGATATTTTTGTGTAAGTTTAGTGTTTTTATAGAACACGGGATTTCAACAGGCAGACCGTACGGCATTCATCCAACTGATTTCTATATTGGGCCATATCTCTCAGTGTCTCTAACCAACGATAATACCCATAACCTTGGGCCCCATTCTGGAAGGCGGGATGGGCCAACCGAAGCCAATGCCGAGGCTAACTTCTTATCTTACTTCATTTCAATTCGTGAGGTGATCTCTTCCTCAACACTACCTCCAGCTGCGATCAAGCTCCCGAGATACCTACAGCTCTCAGTCACTTCCAACTGATCAGCACGAATGACGAGTGCAGGCACAGGTTCCAGACAGATTTGTACAAGCAATTTGTGCTAAGCACATACCATACCAGGATATCTCGATCACCAAGCAATTCAAAGCCTGTTGAAATGCCTGTGTGTTGTCACCCAGCAAGGCGATGTCATCGGCGTATTCTAAGTCAGCAACTGCTCCCTGTGAGTTTTACTGCATCGTTTGCTAGACCAGATAAAGCGTACTAGTTGGATGCAACGTTTCCGAACTAAAGCGCAGTTGACGATCGCGAAAGATGAAATTTGAGGTAGAAAAGTGATGAATTCTTGGTAGAAAATTCATTGTTTACGACAGTGTCGGAGCAACGTGAAGAAATGGGTTATCTCCATTCTTTAGTTCTGATCCTTTAAAATCTAATTAAAGACTAAATAAAAACCATTGAAGCAGCACAAGGTTCTCTAACTAAACTCAGCGGTATTAGTCCAATTTCGTAAAACGCTTTTGCTAATAGGGGTTTATCAAGGAGTTAATTTGCGCCTAGCACTTCATCAGCTGAATTCTGACGGCGCTTAAAAGTAAAGAATTTGCTTTTCGTCGAACTGATGCCGTTTATCTTATCTAACCTGTTTCCATTAACCACCTGAATTTCGCCGACAGTTCTTATTGGTTTCTATGACCAAAAGTGTTTTAAGATTTAAAAACTGAATGCATGATTTTCATTTGTATTAACCTAAAGCGATAGGTGATTACAATTAGGTACATAAACACAAGGATAAAAAGTTCTGTATAGTCCAGATTAAAGTCTTACAGATCGAATAACATACAACTGGTCAAGAGTGAGATCGACAAAATTCACTCGAAATACATTACGAAAAGGAAGACACTAATTAAAGATAGAGATACAATCCAGTAAAATGTTAACCCTCATTTACCTGCCATCTTCGTTTATCCGATAGAATGCCAGAAATGGATCAGATGTGCCAAAAATATCTTTCTTGTCGAGGGATCTTCCAGAAAAATCGAGTATCAACTCATCCTAACCAAAAGAGTAGAGCCCTATAGATGCAACTTACTTTGCAAGAAGTCACTTCTTCCGCCACAACTAAAGGCAGAAAATAAATCTGGAATAATCAAAACTCACTAAGGATTGATCCACATTTTTCTGATGGTCCATTTCTAAGGCACATAATGAGAATGAACATCACATTTACTTGAGTGGCTTCACTATTTTCCCCGATGATGCAATTTCACCGAGAGTTGCTTCACAATTACCAAGGAAATCCTTAGAGAATAAAATCACCAATTAATTATATGGCAACTGTACATGTTTGCTCAGACAATCAGAGCTGCAATCTACATCGTACACGGCGAAATTAAGCCGCTGTTGTTCTTCAAAATGATATTCCATAACGATTTTCTTGACAAAGTCCGGGTTGAGAGTGTTTTGGATAACTTCTGTACGATCCAGCTCCCGCCAAGAGTTGTCCGTGAAAGACTTCTCGAAGACAACAACCACTAAGCTATAGTTAAAAGTAAATAATTTCAAATTACATGGGTCGGATTTTGACAGAATATCCGTATCGCAAAGGTTTCTATGGGTATTATTGTGAACTAGAGGGTTCTTACGTGCATGATATCGACAGTTCAAGAGTGGTATATAAGGCCTCATCGAAGTCCATCATTTCAGCTGACCATATACGCCTTCTCCAACTCGCACAACATCAAGGACGCAAAATCAAGGCCACAGTTCAGTTCAGTTCAGTTCAGTTCAGTTGCACAGGACGAATATGGCTCTTGCCA